CTGCAATGACTGATGTTCTGCTCGATATGACACCTCGATATGAAAACAGAGTCTTCTTTCCTTGGCCTTTAAACCATTCTACTCATCAATGGACCTGATCTTTAACTTCTGAAACACTAAATAAAGACATCAGTAATAAAAGAAAGCATATATTTACAAGGATAGTCATGAGATAACTTCCCAAGTGTGCTTGTTTTAAGTCACTAAGCTTGACTTTGATGGTTTGAGGACTAGTGAGAAGAGGTTGATGGAGCTGGTGCTCCTACCTATTTCTTCTGGTAAACCCAAGTGCCTACTGACATCAGTCTCTTCTTCTCACGAGCTGTCTTTCTGTTTCTTTTCTTCTTGACACTTGGTGTGATCAAAGGCTTCACTTCCTTGGTAAACAAGCTTTCATCTTCTTTCAAACCATCTTCAAGCTTCAATTCAGTGTCAAGCTTCTGTTCTGGCTCATCAGGGAGAGTGTCTCTCATCAACATACTCACTGTGAAGCTCATAGCATGCTCCACACGCTCTGGAACTTGCTGTTGCTTACTCTCCACTTCAATGATTGTTCCACAAAAAGCTATAGAAGGATAGACAATCTTGTTGACTTTGAACTCATCAACATTCTTCAAAATCACAGAGCCTCTCTTGAAGTCTACTTGAGCTCATGCTGTTGCCAAGAATGATGTTCCTAGAACAAGTGACACCTCTCTTGAATATGTCTTCTCCATAACCACAAAATATGTTGGCACCAAGCAATTCCCAATCTTCAAAGAGAAATCCTTTACCATGCCCAAGGGTCTTGTTGAGGTGTTATCCACAAAGGTAATAGAGGCTTTGTAGGGCTTCAATTCCTTGATTCCTAAGGTTAGGCTTAAGTGGAGAGACATGACATTCACTGTTTAACCTGAATCACACAAACCTCCAACATTGTCTAGCATTTCAGTCTCACAAGTAATGAGAAACTTTCCTGGATTGGGAAGCTTTGTCAATGTCTTCAGGTCCTTTTTTCTCTTCAGATTAGGCCCCACATTCTCTAGAATTGGCTCCACTACTTCCAGCTTATCAAAGACTTCTTTGAGGAATCTGATTCGATCCTTCACTTCAAGCAACGTGATGCCATGAGGAAGTTTATTCCAGCGTCTTGTATGTCTTTCCTGAACATTGAGTAGACTACCATCTGAGCCTTTGTAAAGTGCATCGTGGGGTAAGGGATTGGTGGTTTATAAACTTGAGCTTCAGGAGCTTGACCCTTCTCATTGCTGCTTGAGGAGCTGCCCACTTGGCGATCATACAACTCTATGAAGTCTTGAGGACTTACTCAAGACCATCAAAGCATGGTACGTCTCTACAAGCTCTTTATCAGCTTCACTGAGCTCTGGTTTGGCTTCATCTTCTGGAGCAACTAAGGCTTTCTCAGCCTCTTCCATCTCAGCAGCTTCTTGTGCAGCTCTTTCTTGCTATTCTTCTCTTTTCAAGCTTTCATCTAATCCTTGGAGGAACCGCTCTACAATATCAGCAGCTTCTTGATCATCAATGTTGACGTTGATGACATTCCACCCACACTCAACCTTTAACATGTCCACATGTAACAGCATCTCTTGAAGCATAATGTCAAGCTCTTCCAATGAAGCATCTTCATCATCAAACTCTTCATCCCCTTCAGCAAGCCAGTGGCTGAATTCCTTAGGATTTGCTTCACTCTTTCCTGGTAACTAGTTCTGAGGCTTTGAAGATGAAGCTCTTTTTCTTTTTAGAGACTTAACTCTTTGTTTCAGGGCATCTAACTTGCCATTCAACTCACAATTAGTGGCGTCTATTTTGTTATGCACTTCAGCGAATTTCTAGTGCAGCTCTATGGTGATGTTGGCTTGACCAGTCAACAACTGTTGCATCATCTGTTTCAAATCAACATCTTGAGTGTTGTAAGAGGTTTGTTTATCGCCAATACCTGGTGGGATAAAAGCTGGTCTTAGCTGAAAGTTAGCTTGTTGAAAACCGCCCTGACATGGTGGTCTTGAAGCAAAGTTGTTCTACTGGTTGAAAGGAATGAAAGGTTTGGTTCCTTGGTTCTGTTGAGCAGCTTGTGATGGATAGACTTGATCCTGAGGGTTAGCCATCTTGGTGCTTCTATAAGAGAAGTTGGGATGGTTCATGTAGTTGTTAAAACCGCCTCCTTGTTGATTCATGTAGAAGGCTTCTTCTTCTACAACTGTCCCATCTTCCTCTTGTGTAGCAACACTATTACCAACAAAACTAACATTCTTGAAAGACACACTCAGCAGCTTGTCTAACTTGTCATTCAAAGCTTTAATCTCCTTCTTTGTTGTGCTCTCACCTTCAGCGCTTACAACAGCTCTAGATGTTTTGTCTTATTCTACACCATAGTTTCCATCAGAAAGTGCCAAGTTCTCCACAGAGCTAGACCATGTACAACAGTACTGCCCATAAACTTTCCACTGGAAGCTGTGTCCAAGAGCATTCTGCACTTTGGCGTCACTCCTCTATATAAAGTAGACAGCAAGCTTTCATTTGTGAAGTCATGGTGTGGGCACTGCAAATGTAAGACTTGAACCGCTCCCAAGCTTCAGCAAATGTCTCTTTCCCATGTTGAATAAAGCTGCTTATGGTGTTCTCGAGCTTTGCTGTTCTTGTTGAGCTGAAGAATTTGTTGAGGAATGTTGTCTTGCACTCATTCCATGTACAGACTGAACCTTGTGGAAGTGTCTTCTCCCACTGATGTGCTTTGTCACCTAAACTGAAAGGAAACAAGCGCAGCTTCAAAGCATCTTCAGAGACTCCTTGAATCTTGGTCATACCACACACCTTATCAAACTGGTCAAGATGACCAAAATGGTCTTCATTGGGCAGGCCATGGAATATGTTGCCTTGCACCATGTTGATCAACCCAAGCTTCATCTCGAAGTGGTTTTGATGTTCAGCTGGAGCGTGAATGTCATTTCTGTTGTGGTGAGTGTCAGGCGAATCACCAGCTCTTATTGGTCTTGCAGCTCTAGGTGCGTGGACCGGTACTCGCAATCCTTGAACTCCAGCCGCTTGGTTCAAAGCTTCTTGTGCTTCATCTATGTGTGATGCAGCTTGTTGTAGTGGTGCTTGTCCAACAACACCAACATGTGGTAACTGAGCTTCTTCCTCTGCATTCTCTGTTCTTCTATCTCTTGAACTCTCTGTCTTACAGCTCTTCTCATATGAATGTTGTCAATGAAAGGAGTCAGGTTTGATGAGCTTTTAGACCTCAAATTCATACAAGTACCTGAAAACAGAGCACAGAAAACAAAGCAGTTTAGTAACTTTTAAAGTAAAGAACTTAGTCTAACAGCAATGATAAACTCAAACAATCCACAATGGCAACGGCGGCAATTTGAAACAGCAGTTTTTTGTGACTAGATCAAACTCCTTAGCTTCTAATCAGTTGTAGAATAGAGATCAGGTATCAATCCAATTGTGGGAGATGAGATGCAAACAATGCTGTAAGCTAAACAAGATTGGGGTTTGATTATGTGAGAACAAGTCTAACAACCTAATGGGGCAATAAAAGAAAAGCTTAAACTAAATGCAAGTGAACAGAACTAAACAATGAACTTAAAGCAATGACTAAACAAGAACTAAGCAAGAAATGACTACTAAAGCAAGAACTATGCAAGATGATTTTGAAGACAATTAATTAAAGGCAAGACTCAAAGATCTATGCAATTGTGGGATAGTGATTCTCAAGAGTGACAAGGGGATTTCTTTCTAAGGCATTCAACAAGCATAGATCAAGCAAGCAATTCTCAATATTATGCTCCTAGACAAGGTATCTAAAGGGAACTACTTGGCTTCAATAAGCAATTCATATTCAACAAGATTGAAGTGTCAGACCCATTTGTGATGGCGTATCCTTCAACCATGAGCATAAAGATCAGAACCATTCTAGTCTAAGAGATGCCCCAATCAAGCAACTACTCTCTCACCCAAGCAAGAATTCAGATCAACTAATCAATCTTGTGAACCAATAAGGACCTAAGCATCTATACACCAATCAAGATTATGGATTTAAGCACAGATTTGCAACACCCTAACAAAGCTAAGCAATGAACAAGAATGAAGCAAAAGCAAGATCTTTCAATGCATATTATCTAACCATTAAGTCAAGAATCTCAAAACCGTACGCGAATCATCTAGCAAGGTAAACTATCACTTTGGTGTCACTGAACAAAGGAAACATAGACCAAGCATCCTCCCAGGATTGTCATCTGTCCAAGACTTCGTCAACACCGTCACGCGGTTACAGTAACACAAAGGCCCCACTACCTGGCTCTGGTTTCGAGTTGAAGAACTCGCTCCCGATCCCGAACTACGCACAGTCGATGCCATACTTCTCGGTTTCAGATCGATATTCGCGACTGCGTAAACTTGGATTTGCTGCCCACCGTCAAACCCCTCTTAAAGACTTTCTATACGACACTCCAACACTTGCTTTGGATTAGGGCAAACCAACTAATACATTAGCCCACCGATTACAGAAAAACATGTTCAACACGGGAGGAATGTCCACATACATCGGTCCACAACACATTGGGCCAACAACCATTACTATTCATGCAGCCCGACGCCGGCCCAGCATTCCAAAATTTATACCTCATCCACTACTAGAAATCCTTTCAATACCTTTTCCACTATCCACAAACATATATCCATCGGACATCAACTCTCCAAACTACGATCTAGCTTGGACACAGGCACCTACCCTCCCATATTGAAACGCTTAAACATTTGTTTCTATAATAAAACCACCTTACATATACGTACTGTCTGGACTTAAAATACATGTGCCTTAGCTATTACAATACTCGGTGATATTACAAAAAAAAACATACAACCACAAAACCATGTCACAATTGAGAGCTTATCCAAAAAATCAATCAACGACAGCCTCTCAATAAATGTAAATCAACATGGTCGACCACGTATCCACAAGTCACGAACATCCGTGGATACGCAACCCACCATCTTCATTTCGGTTGTGAACAACTAGTCCTGTTGTGACCGGGCTGTCCACATCGCCCGCACTTGTTAGGTGTTTCTTTCTTAACCCTAGTTACCTGCACAAACACACAATATCAGGAATCTATATTTGCTTATCAATTACTAACTAACAGAGACATCTCGAACTTATAAACATGCCATACTAACCGGTATTTCTCCAACTGATGGATACCGCGACTCCTTCCTCCTACCAGCCTTCCTCCTCGTATCCGGTGGGGCGAGAACAAGTGACCTTACTTCAACAGGTATATCATAATCATCCGCCTCCTCAGCGGGTGATATCACACCTATATACGTCTCCGCCCATGTACTGGATTTGAATGCATCACCAACAACCGTTTTATAAGGCAACCCGAACATATCAGCAGCCATTAAAGCGTGACCACACGAAATTTTTAATTTGTCATACACCCGACAGGAGCACTTCCTATCCTAAAGGTAAACTATATGTTTCTTGCCAAATTGCCCTACAACCTCACAGCTCCAATTCGTGATGACGTTTACCTTACTACCCTTAGTGTTTAGCAGGCTCTCCGTTATCACCTTGTCCACCTCCGGCGGCACACCACCCCGATGATTCAATGACTTCGTCCTCCTTGCACTAAACCATCTCGTCATCATCTCCTGAATGAACTTCAGAAACTCCACTACCGGCGACCCCCTACCCTCCCTCAACGCGTTGTTCAGCTGCTCAGCTGCGTTGCTCGTCATAATGTTGTACCTCTCACCAGAGAAATGGGCCCTCGTCCAATGAGCTATACCAATTGTCTCCAGGTACTTAGCACACTGACCATTTGTCGCCCGTATCTTACCGAACACCTCTCTAAATCCTCCAACACAGAAGGCAAAGGCTGCACTCACCACCATCTTTGCGAGTCCTTTATTCTTGTACCTAGAATTAACGTTTCGAGCCAGGTGGACAATGCATGCACCGTGATGTGCCTTCGGGTACACACTCCTCTTCGCTGCATAGATAGAAGCAGCCTTATCAGATATGAGGTCAGTGATGTGCTGTCCGCTAATATATGCTCTAGTTTCCGCAGAAACCATGTCCACACTTCTTCATTCTCACTGTCAACTACCGCATACGCAATGGAGAAAACCTGGAAGTTTGCGTCTTGACCACTAGCAGTAAGCAACACCCCTTTGAACTTCCCAGTTAGATGCGTCCCGTCCAGCACAACTAGATGCCTCAGCCTACGAAACCCAGATATGGAAGCTCCATACGAGAGGTATACATATCAGAACCGGTTCACACCAACATCATCCGTTTCTGTCTCCAAATCAGCTACGGTTTTGGGATTTGCGAGCTTCAACATGTGCAAATAAACTGCCAATCCTGCGGACGAGTCCTCGTCCGAGCCTCTAACATCATCAACAGCTTTCCCTATTGCCCTATAACATTTCATATACGAAGCAGACACACGTAGATCCTCAAGAACCAACCTCTGCAACTCTGCCGCTTTTGGCCCTTTCTCTTGGTCGCCATATCTCGCCTTGAAAACCGCCGCTATTACCCTCGAAGACACCTTCTTCTTAACAGCATTCCTTGTATCTATGTCACATGTGTGGCTAAGCTGTGCTTTCTTGATCTCGTAATAGCCGCAGTCTTTGAACTCACGAGCCATTACACGCCAGTCGCACTTATCGTCAGTGTATCTCAGGACAAAGTAATGTCTCTTTGTTGTCGTATGTCGGTAATTTGTTACATGCTTTATAGCGTATATAGCAAGTGCTATTTGGCAGTCCTTTTTGCTAGCGTACACCTTCCCCTCGAACAACCCGTTCCCATCTTCGTCCAAGTCGAGGTCTGGTATGTCGGCGCTTTCATGTTTAGTGTCGTCGAACATTGGCGGAATGTCGAACTCCTCGTCATCAATCTGCTCGAGTTTCCGTTTATCATCCACACTACCTTGTCCACGGAAAGCAGCAGCAGACGCTCGACTATCTCGACCATCCGTCTTCTTCCCCCCTCCATCACATGCTCATCCACGAAAACTACTCGGCGCACCGTTGAATACACCGCTTACCCCACTATTCACTCCCACGCCACTACAACCCTCACCTTCCTCGCTCCACCAGCCATGACTATGACCTTCTCCAACTCCACCATCTTTCCCCCCAATATTGTACTTGTCCAATGGACATCCGTTCGAAGACTGACCACCCCCCCCCCCCCCCCCCCGCCCCCCGCTTCTTGCTCTCCACTGAGCAACCATCCATAGATCGCCCACCATCACTTCCAGTAGTGCCTGCCCCATCTACGCCCCCCTCAGTTTTCCAAGCCGCCTCATCGAAGGGGCCTTCTCCGGTTAAGAAACTGTGGTCGAACGCGCTCCCAGTTGAACAGAAAATCACATGCGGCCGTCCAGCTGCTTCCCCAGCATTCCGAGCCGTTGGAGGACACATAAACTCAACAGTCTTAGATCCCCCAATTGGATCCTCGAGTAGCGGCTCCCCATCGGTTGCACGTTTATGTTCTCGTCAAAAGTTATGCTGCTTTCGTCGGACTCAGATTTGTACTTCCGCGTAGTACAATCACCGTCCTCCATCTCTGAACGGCCCCTTCTCAGCCGCTCCTCCGTCATCTCCACATGACTAAAAATCTCTTCATCATCCACATCCAACGGACATGTTTTCGTCCCATCAGATGATCCATACCCACTATAGGCAGAGGCACCAGCGCCATCTCTCGCAGGAGTGCTTTGTTCATCAAACAAACCTTTCCGTTTAAGCGTCGGGCCCGGGGTACTGTACCCTTCTCCACCATCTACACTACTACACCATTTCTCCTCCGGAGCCTCTATACCAAAATGCACAAACAAATTAAACCCATCTTTCACACGGCAGTGTTTGCAGAAATACCCTATTGCCGCTGTGCTGTTAACCATTACTAGAGGCGTCGTTATACCGGTAGCCAGCTCCGAACTGTTCGGGGACCAGTAACTAAGACCCAAACTCGTCCCAAAACCCTTGTTCCCAAAGAACTCCGTCACTACATTCTCTTTCAGCTCCTCAATAGACATACCCTCTCGGAAGACCACCACCCTTGACATATAGTTCTTATCTATCACAAACTCCCACTTACGGTCCCCAGAACACAACCACTCACCACATATCACCAAGCAGTGCCCTTCCATCCCCACACTACCCCGATCGGCTAACTCAACAAACAGGGGATCCCTTGGTTAATTAGGTCTTACTCACCTAACAACCTTGACCTCTCAATTAACAGGGAAGATATTACATTCTAATCTCTCTTACCCTAACATCAACGGCTTACATCTTCTTATTTTCCGCACATAATAACTCCCGCCATAGGCCCACAATTTATTCAAATTTTCACAGCTGTACCATAGCCACTGCGTCGGTGGTTTTGCAGCCAAACAATCAATCCACTGTATCAACGAACATGGACATAATTTCGTGGACATACATTTTTCCCTACAAACGAAAAGCCCAAATCATTAGAAACACGGCCACCTAGAACCGTCCACGACTATCAGCATACAACCTCTCCCGATTTCCTCAACAACGACGGAACGAATAAAATGACCTATCTCAGCAAACACGCACTCGCCATTCTCCGTCGCTTTCTGCAAACACCGCCCCAGATCTATATCCACCCGGACAACGTCAATCGCAACTCAAACTCTTCGGCGCTGCAATAAACAGGCTTCTATTTCATCTCCGACTTGTACTAGACCTTAGCAACATGTTCCATCAATTCAATTTCATGCCCACGAACCAGAAGATGTCACGCCTGAAGTTCAACCGCCGACGGAATAAAACACACAAAAGCCAACAAATCTACTAAGGGCATTTCGGTCTTTCAGACTAATGGAAAACAAAGACATGCCAATCAAAGTGCACCAATAGCTATAAGTGCCTTCCATCGTAATGAACAACTCCAAAGTGCCTCCACATGTAAATCACTCCATAATTTAGTATGAACTGATAATATTTTATTATGTCAAACAAAACTATTCTCTAAAATTAATAAATAGTACAATAATTGTGATTGTTTATGTTACCACTTAAATAATAAGACTATTTTCGATATTTTGTTGTGAGTCATGATTAGTTCGTTAATTGTTCAAATAATATAGATATACTTTTTGATTCTTTTGCTAATATAATTAGAATACTAAAAAAACTTATACATTTAAATGAAAAATTTACTATTCTCATTTTTTGGGTACTATTTTTTTTGAAACAACTAAAATTGATCATTTTAGTATTAAAAATATAATATATTTCAAAATGACAAGTAGATAGTTATATTTTAAAAATGGTACCAAAATTTTATAATTTGGAGATTCTTATTAGAATAGTAATCTGATAATAATTTTTGAAAATGGTGTTTCTCAAAATTTCCCTATTAGTACTAATATTTCCTCTCGTACTATGTACGGAGTAACAATCGCTACATAGCAATAGAAAAATATATATATAATCAAAATTATTTTACTCATTAGTTTGAGAATATGTGCTCCTTTTTTTTGCTTAAAGGATATGTGATCCTTACTACCTAATGTATGACATATATATCTTTTAAATCTAAATAACATACATCAGACATGACCAAACCATCAAACATCGACTATAACCAAAGGTTTTCACTGAAAATCTGAAATATTAATGAAATTATAAAGAAAAATAAAAGTATCAAAATACTCACTGTCGTATTTCCAAATGAAAAGATCTATTGTTTTCCAAATTTTTTTTTAAAACACTATTGTTTGTATATATACTATAAAATCTATTGTACAATAAGAAAATGGAAAATGCTTTAATAAATAATGAAAATATTATCTTTAATCAAAAGTTTTTCCTCCGATTCTACCACATCTAATATGGTTTTGAAATTGAAGAAGAAAAAAAAGAAAACTTTCATATTCTATTTTCGATCAATTAGGTCTATTTAAATTTAGTTTTAAATAATTGTCTTTTTATCCTTAGCGGTGAAAGAAATGGAAATCATAACAAAAAACTGTTAAGAAACTAATGAAACTTTTATTAATGCATTTTAATTTGTTTTTTCTTTAATTAATTGTAAAACACAAATCCATGTGGTAAACAAGTCAACAGGAAAATTAGTGAAAAATAATTTTAGCTAACTTCTAGAATTGTCAACCGGCTTATGTTTTATAAATATAAAAATATCGTACTCATAATTATTCAACACAAATAAAGAAAATCATAAAAAGGTAAAAAAAAATACAAATAATTCACGTAATGGGCGACAGAATTTCGATTAATATATGTAAGAAAAGAGATGAGGTAGGGAGACAAGAGCATAGAAAACATACAAAGATGTTAACGTTGACGTGCTGCAAAAAAAAAAAGAAGAAGTTAAATATGTTTCATTCTCACTCTTTTAAATATAGTGGGTTAAAAGTGAATACTTCAGCTTCTCCATTTTTCCAACTCTTATCTCTACGTGTTCGAAAACCTCACCATTAGATGATAAGTAGAAGACAAAACTTACAGCCAAATAGACAAACTTATCTCTCTCCAAAACATTTGGTCCAGAAGATAAAGAAAGAAGAAGAACTGAGCAAAAGAAGAAGAAGAAGACGAAGAAGAAGAAGATGACGCATGAAATGAGGAATATCAAGCCACGATGCATATCCCTCTTGTTTCTCCTGTTTGCTTTGCTTATTGGAAATTATGTAGCTCAAGGTCTCATTTTTCAACCAATATCCTGCGTGTTCTGTCTTCCTAATATCAGTTTATTAATTTAACAGCAATATGACTAACAGTGATTTTTTTTTTCTTCTGGAAATTCTTTCGTTTATGTGTATTTAAACAGCCTCAAGAGCTCGTTCTATCGAGGATAAGGTCTCACCTTCCACACAAATACAACCCTTGGTAAATCCTCATAAAGAGAATTATTCATTATATACTAGTAAAATAACCGTCTTGTAGCCGATTTGGTTCCATATATTAATATATACTAGTATGTATGCGATTTTTTTTTAAAAGCAGATTTCAGGGAGACGTTTGATTGGGTCGACGGCGCCAACTTGTACTTACAACGAATGCAGAGGATGCAGATACAAATGCAGAGCTGAGCAAGTCCCCGTTGAAGGCAATGACCCTATCAACAGTGCTTATCATTACAGATGTGTTTGTCATAGATAATAATGATAAGCACTTCTTTTTTGCCCTCCCATTGCAATTCTTGTATCGACTTAATTGCATTTTGAATTTTGAATGAGATGTTTTGGTCAACATTATTACTTCATCTTTTTCATTTTATAAGATGTCGTAGAGATTTGTTTTGTGTTTTTGTCAGTTGATTTGTTCTAACTCTTCTATGCATATTGATTTTACTAAAGTATATGTATATATATATATACTGTGTTTTTATTGGTTGAATTATTTTTAGATAATATTTATTTTTTGGAACTTTTTTTAGTTAATATGTTCTTATGTTTGAAATTTTAAATTAGTTATGCGGGTGCTTAGTATTTCTGCATTAATCTAGGAACAAATGGAGTAATAATTATTTCTTGTTTTAATGTATACAATTATTAAGGTTAGAATGGAGTTTTGTCAAGTTTCATGCTACTGTGTGCATGGCTGTTTTGACGTATGTGTTGGTGTTGGTGTTGATGATGATGATGGCGATGGTGATAAAATTGGGGTGAGTTGTTGTGTATAAGTGTGTTCAAAAACGGCAGGGAGAAATCACATGGTCCTGTGGTCCAATCATGAGACATAAGTCAAGAAAAGATCACATGAAGGAACTAGAGTTGGTATGTTTGTAATTTTAATCCTCTGTCTTTTGTTCTGTTTCCAATTATGACAATAAGCATTAAAGTCGTTTGTTTCATTAGGATCGATAGAATTTTGCAGTATGTTATACTCTGCCCTCTCATTTGTTTCTTCTAAATCTCAAAAGGATCTACGCCCTTTTGATTTAGTATTCAACAATTTCTTAATCTTATGGCAACTGATACTCGAACTTACAATTAAATCCACCTCTACTTACAAGATTTTGTAAATTCAGCAGGTCTAACAAAAATACAATTCAATATATAATATTAAATTATATTCAAACCAAAACAATAACTGTTTACAATGAGTGCAACTTTGTTAAGCTTATGACAATTCAACTAAGAGAATTATCCTCAAGCTTTAAACCATTGAGCAAGAGTATATTCGTGTCTCAATTTCAGTCTTGGGATGGAAGTAATCCGATCTCAAAATTATCAATTAGCTGAAGTATGCGCTGTGGTTGAGAAGGTGGTTCTACATGGCTAGGGGTGGACACATAAAATAATTATATATGGGGCACAACATATATAAATATTTAATATAATTAAATTAATTAAAATATATTATAAATATTAAAATTTATAACATAAATTATTATAGTTTTTGTTGATTTTTGAAAATATATAAAACTAAATAAATAAAAAAAATTTGGAAAAAAAACAATAAAAAACATGGAAAAAGATTGAATTTAAGCTTATATGAAGAATAATTAAGCTACAATGAAAATTATAATATAAATTATTATAGTTTTCATTAATTTTTAAAAATTTATAAAACTAAATAAATAAATAAAATTAGAAAATAAAGAACATGGAAAAAGATTGAATTTAAATTTATATAAAAAACATTTTAGCTACAAAATCAACTAAGTTATTAATCTATTAGTGTTACATATATATATTATTTATAGATTTAGTATGGGGCACATGCCCCATCCACCTATAACATGGATCCGCCCCTGTACATGGCGTCTGTTGTTCCTTTCCCTCCAAACGTAAGAGATTGTAGTTTGTAGAACATACCATAGCAGAAAAACCGTGATATACGGCAAGTTGAGGTCTGAAAGAAGTTAGAACAATAAAATCCCAAGTGGAGACATACCCAAGCTGAAGCAGCCTCTGAGTAAGAGATTCCCAGATGTGGTTTGTATTCGCAGGAAAAAAACAGATGGTTTCGAGACTCTGTTTCCATGGCACAAAGTAAGCAGTCTGTTGATACTCCATTGCATCATGTAATCTCCCATCATCAAATGATTATGAACAGTAAGCTCTGTGGACAAGTACGATTTTACTCTACTAAAATCAATGACCCATGCTCCTACTATAGATGTATGTAGTATAGGTATGGGTTTTTGTCAATCCATATTGAGAGTGTTTGATACAATAAGGTTGTAATAGTTTGTCTAATTCAAGAGAATATCAAGATTGGGTTGCTAAGCTATTAAACTTAACAAAATTAAAATTTGTGTCACCAAAAGGAAATAACAAGACTTAATAATAATAAACAGGCAAGAACAATATTTAAAGTAACTAAAGAATAAAGCTTTATCAATAAAGGAAAGGCCTGGGACATCGAGTTGGGACTCTTGGATCACAAAGAAAGTTATTTAACAACATCAAGGACTTGGTCTTAGATGGTAATCCTTAAAGGGTTCTACAAATAGATTAGTCCATGGTTTTTGGATCTAATCCCTTTGTTGACCACAATATCAAGTCTATATCTCGCATAAAGATAAAATGGAAAAACAAGCAAGACAAGGAAACAACCCTATTGAATCTCCTAGATAACTAATGTCTTGCACTGGAAAAGATGCAACCTTTGCAAGCGGTACAGTCTAATCTCAACCATGTTATTTGATAAAGACCCCTATGTACTTTAAACTACGCGATAAATCTAGAATAAGCAATAATAGAGGCAAGCAAAGAATGATTAAGTATTAAACACTAAGCTTAACAAAATAAAGCATTCGAGAGCCCCTTTCTCTTTTCCCATTCATAAGTTTAGAAAACTACTTACTCACCATAAGAGTTACCTCAAAATCCATGAGGATAAGTGAATTAATCATGGCTAAATAAAACTAAAGACAGAAAATAGAGAAGTGCAAAACTTTATTAAATAAATGCAAAAGTACAAATTTTATCAAGCGAAAATATTGAAACTAAAAGTACAATCTTGAAACTAAAGCAACAATGGAAAAATAACATAGTTTTCACAAAAGAAATAAGAGTGTGATGGCGAAAACATATTTGGCTGAAATAAGACTTTTTGGCCTTAGGACAAATGTCCTCTTCTTAATCAGTTGTAGCATAGGAATGGGGTATCAATCCACTTGTGGAGGTTGAGATGCAATCTATGCACTAAGCTAACCCAAGATAGGGGTATAATGATACAAGAACAAATCTAACAACCTTACAATGCAAAAAATCAAAACAGGAAATGCAACTAAACGAGATGACAACTGGAACTAAGCAAGCAATAACTCAAAGTAAAGCAAGGTGATGAACTAAAACAAGTAAACAAAAGCAGGAAGATGGCAAGCGAATTGAACTAAGATAATAAAAGCAAGAGTCAAGATTCTAAGCAATGATGGTGAAGTGGTAATAAGAGTGATTAAGGGGTTCCTATGAACAAGGCATTCAGACAAGCAATTCAAGCAAGCATTTCTCAGTATTGCAATCCTAAACAAGGTGTCTAAAAGAGAATCAAATTAGTGGTTAATAAGCAAATTCATTTCAACCAAACTAGTTTCTCAAACCCACTTTTGATGGTGTATTCACTAGCCATGAGCATAAAGCATAGAACCATATAGTCTAAAAGAAGCACTAATCAAGTAAACATCTCTCACTCAAGCAATGGTTATAGTCAACCTATCAATCGATTATGATTCTCTAGGGACCCAAGCAGCAACTCAACAGTTCAAGAATATGGCATCAAGCTCAATGAATGGGAAACCTAAACAATGCTAAGCAAAGAACTAGATTCCAAGCAAATGGATGTTCTTTGATGCAAACTATCTAACCATCAAGCAAGACTCATGAATCAAGCGTTATCTAGCCCTAAGCGAATCATCTAGCAAGACAAACTGTCAACTTTGGTGTCACATGACAAAGGAACCATAAGCAATGCTAAATTATTAAGCTAAATAAGCGAACCATGCAAAGAAACAAGACATCAAGCTCTTGAGTGAATCATCCACATCAACGAATTCATATTCAATCAAAAAGGAGACACTTTCTAAATAATAACAGCTTTGCAAGAGAAGGAAGCAATAGAGATTAACTGACACAACCTCGAGAATGCCATCTACCTTGGAGAAGAGGATCAATGGACATGATGGTCTAGCCAAGGGTAAAGGAGAGACGATCTCCCTTGGAGAACAAATCATGAAAGATAGGCTCTCCTTTATTCATGATATGTTCTCCAAGGGAGATCGTCTCTCCTTTACCCTTGGGTAGACCATCATGTCCATTGATCCTCTTCTCCAAGGTAGATGGCATTCTCGAGGTTGTGTCATCCTCTCCTTCTTTAAAAGGTTTTGTCCTCAAAACTAGTTCATCTTCACATAGATATCTCAAGTTAGTTTCATGAATTAAATGTGAGTTTAGAAGTTTACCTTGGATACAGTTTTGTTGGTAGCTCGGTTGGGGTTGTGCTTGAGCATCTGGAGGTACTTCTTTTATTAACAAGGAGTATATGGAACCATGTTTGTGTGGCTGACACATAATCTCATCATCACTTGTGAAATCTCCTCTTTCACTTAGGCTTTCTCCCTTAGTTTCTCCTCTGATGTAGTTTGAAGAATCAGGTGGCTCATGTGTCTTGTATATCTCCTTTGTTCCTGCATTGGTCTTTACACTTCTGGCAAGAAGCAAGTGTATTAAAAAGTCGTGGCATTGTTAAAAACAAAGGGATAATTTTCAGAATGAACCTTTGCATTTTCAGGAGTAGAAACAATTTTTTGTTTCTCATTGACTTGTTGCTCAATGATGCTAATGCTTTGGTCCGTTTCTAGAGCTGCTTCTCTACCTCTGGCTTCCTTATCCTCTGTATGACTAGTACCTATAGGAACATCTTTGGGCAAAGACAAGTGCATGATACTAGAATTGAAAAAAATAAAACTTGTTTTATCAAGACAATCACTTAACTTAGATGATATCAAATTCTGTTCTAGTGATGTTGATTTTATAACTTGTCTTTGAGGACAAGTTGCAGCGAAATGACCTCTCCTATGACATCTATAACATGTAGGTTCTTTTAACTTTACAGAGTTAGAGTTAGAAAACTTACCTTGAAGTGATTTTCCTTGAAGTTCAAGTGAGGGTATAAAAATCGAATTTTGTTGAACCTCCTTCACTGGTTTCTTAGCCTCTCTTGTAATTGTCTGAAACATAAGCCTCTTAGGTGTGTAGCTCTGGTTGTGGAACCTCAGTACAAACTCCTTGTACATTCGCTGCTTCAGATCTCCCCAAGTAAGAATTTGCTTATTGTAGTGGGACATAAATTCTTCACTCATCAACCATGAAGATGCTTCTCCAACAAGTGAGTTAACAGCTTTGGCTA